CCCAGGCGGAGGCCGTGAGACCGGAGAACCGCAAGAGGGAGCAAGTGATCAGGTAGGTATCCGAGTTTGTTAACGATAGTCGAGGACTTATGACCTTTTAGGGTCGGGTTTGGGTACTGTTTATGGGCGGAACGCGTACCGTCTTGATGGAGGAGGTGCATAGATCGAAGTTCTTGATCCACCCCGGGGCCACTAAGATGTATTTGGACCTGAAGAAGGAGTATTGGTGGCCCTGTATGAAAAGGGATGTTGCATGGTTCGTAGAGAGGTGCTTGACATGTCGCAAGGTTAAGGCCGAGCATCAGCGTCTGCATGGTAAGTTGCAGCCGTTAGAGATTCCTAAGTGGAAGTGGGAGCAGATCACCATGGATTTTATCACCAAATTGTCGAGGACTGCTACGGGTGTCGATGCAATTTGGGTAATTATGGGCAGGTTGGCGAAGAGCGCTCACTTCCTTGCCATCAGTGAGAGCTCTTCCGTGGATAGGCTGGCAGAGTTATACGTTAGGGAGGTGGTATCGCGGCATGGAATACCGATCTCGATCGTCTCAGATCGAGATGTGCATTTCACTTCCAGATCTGGAAGAAATTTCATGAGGAATTGGGTACGAGGTTGCCTTTTAGTACTGCATACCACCCACAGACCGACGGGCAGAGCGAGGGGACGATTCAGACGCTCGAGGACATGCTTCAGGCATGTGTAGTGGATTTAGGTGGGAGTTAGGACACGTATTTTCCCTTGGCTGAGTTTTATAATAACAATAGCCATCACTTGAGCATTGGTATGCCACCCTTTGAGCTGTTGTATGGAAGGAAGTTTCATACCCCCATTTTTTGGGGCGAGGTAGGGCAACGTGTGATGGGTAGTACGGAGATAGTGCTTCAGACGTTAGAGCAGATACGACAGGTTAGACAGAGGTTATTGATCACTCAGAGTCACCAGAAGAGTTATCCGGATAAGCGACGATCCGAACTCGAGTTCCAGGTCGGTGATTTCGTGCTCCTGAAGGTATCTCCTTGGAAAGGAGTGATCCGTTTCAGGAAAAGGGTCAAGTTGGGACCCCGGTATATTGGGCCGTTTAGAGTGATCGCGAGGGTGGGAAAGGTAGCGTATCGGTTAGAGCTACCTTCGGAGTTAGACCAGATTCATGATACTTTCCACGTATCGTAGCTGAGGAAGTGAAGTGCCAACGAGTCGGCAGTGATACCATTAGAGGATATCCAGGTGGATGCGGGTCTAAATTATGTTGAGAAGCTGATCGCGATCTTGGATCGGAAGATCAAGGTTCTGAGGAGTAAGGAAGTACCCCTGGTGTAGGTCCAGTGGCAACATCAGAAAGGGACCGAGATGACCTGGGAGCCGGAGTCGGAGATGTGGGAACAGCATCCGGAGTTGTTCGCAGCATGAGACTTCGAGGGCGAAGTCTAGTTCTTGTAGGGGAGAATTGTAACAACCCGAAACTCAGGTAAGCCTTATAACCCTTCTACTTTGAGAGATGGCAAGTTGAGTCCCTTAAGTTATATGTGGATATGTGAGTACGCTGGGTGTAAAGAAGCGTACCCTACGCGTACTCACGTGCTTAATTTGGATGCGGACTCGCTCGGGTACGCTGGGTGTAATGTGTCCAGGTGGAAACCCTAAATTCTGGCTTGTGCATTATAAAATGAATGCTTAGTCCCTTGCCCCAGCCACCATACCCCCTTGAGTGAGCCCTTAGAGTGCATAAATCTGTGTATAAGCTTGTGTGTGTGTTCTTGAGCTTTAAGGTACCTTTTTGAGGTGAAGAAGGAGAAGAGGAAGCCATTGTTGGAGCTAGAGGTGGAAGAGCAAGAGTAGATCTGAGTTCTACACTGGTTGGAGATAGGGATGTCAACGGGACCAAACGGGAGCGGGAATAGCTGCCCCCGCTCCCGCCCCCGAAATCAATTGTTACCCCCGCTCCCGGTCCCGCCCCCAGCTTCCCCGTTTACATAGCCCCCGGTCCTGCTCCCGGTTACCTCCATCACCCCCGGTCCCGCCCCCGTTCCCCCGGTTCCCCCGCTTAAAATTCGTTTTTTTTGCTAAATGACTATTTTGTGTTAGGCTAAAAAGCTTGTTTTTAATAACTTTAAAAGTTTAAAACATAATCTTTTAGAAACTAAACAATTAAAAATTCAACATTACGAATTCAATATTACAAAACAACAATTCCATTAATCTTAAAAATATAAAATATGAAAAATCCAATATTACAAATATAAAATACTTACATATCCAAAAATATATGATCAATTCACTACCTCTTCAATATCTATTAATTGAAAACGGGAAAGTGAAACCTAACCTACACTTAAAATTAGAAAATCTATTTTGTATATGTATTTTATATTAAATATATATTTTTTACATAAATGTACAACCGGAGCCCCGCGGGAGTACGGGACGGGAATACCAACTCCCGCTCCCGGTCCCGAAAATAAGCGGGGTTTAATTTTGCCCCCACTCCCACTCCCGCTCCCGTTTTTTTTTTTTAAATTTAGTCCCATACGGGATCGGGGTCCCACGGGAGCAGGGTTCCACGGGGGTTTTTGACATCCCTAGTTGGAGACCCCTTTTGAGGTAAAAAACTTCAATCTTTACATCTTTTCTATTCATGCTTTGTAGAGAGAAGTTTTAGGGTTTTTTGGTCCCCAAGTTCATAGCTTTTTGAGTGGTTGAGCTCTTAGAAGCTGAGATCTATCCCATACTAGCTCATTTAGTGTTGTTATGTGATAAAAATTCAGTCTTGGTTGTTAAAAGTTGTTCATGCATGAGATGTGAACCTTTTAAGGTTGGATATAGAGTGCTTTGGGTGTTTGTGACTTCCACAGCCATGCAAAGGTTTAAAGTCACCAACTTTTATGGATTAAGTCATGTTAGAGGAGTCAGATCTGGATTTTGGATGCAAGACTTAACTGATTAAGACTTGAATGAAGAGGAGGAGAAAATTGGTAGTTACGATGGGCGTAATCCCAGTACGCGCGACGTAAGGGGCCGCGTACCCCGATTCTGTGAAGCCAACGGGTACGCTTAGCGTAAAGATCTGGTACACGCCGTGTACCCCAGAAGGTTGACTTTTGTTGACTTTTAGGGTTTGTTCAATTTTAGAGTATTTGAGCCTTGAGAGGGGTAAAATGGTCTTTTACCCTCCTGAGAGTGCTAAGAGAGGGAATGGTCTAGCCTTGGGAAATGAGTTGATGTCGAGTGTTTATTTCGTATGATTAGGCGGAGGCTAGATCCCATTTCCACAGAGTCTGAGATTTCCGAGTTACCGAGTTACGCGAGGTGAGTCTTCTCATTATACGTTACCTAGACTGGTATTATGAGTTGACCGGAAGGTCTTATGTGCTATGTATGAGATTGTGTGCCATGTATGAGATTATGTTTTATGTGATGTATGTATGATATATAATTGTATATACCGGACCGGAGGGTCCAACGATTCAGACCAAGCCGGAGGGCCCAACGAGCTATGATCGGACCAGAGGGTCCAATGAGCTACGGGACCGGAGGGTCCCGCTGAGACATATCGACCGGAGGGTCGTACAATAGCCTCGAGTGGCGTATGTGTTGTATGTGGTATTTTGGGGAACTCACTAAGCATTTATGCTTACAGTTGTTGTGTTATGTGTTTCAGGTACTAGCGAGGACCGTGGGAAGGCGCCGGCGTGACCCGTACACATCAGAGAAGGGATTTGATTTTATGATCTTGGGATATGTTATGTTTTGATAACTATTGTTGAATACTTTTGAGAATATTTTATATAAGTTGGTTGTTGAAAAATGAAAATTTTGTTTTGAAAATCTCATCGTTACAAAGAGTTATGGTCATATGTAATTCAAGGGTGTGGTGTGAGATTTCGCTCTAATGCCTAAGTTAAGGGTGTTTTACTCAGGAGAGTGTATAAGAGCTAGACTGGGAATGAATTGTTACTTGGAGATACCTCCTATTAATAAGGTATTTATAGTCTTGATGAGGGGACAAACTTTTTCGCCTTATACCATTTATGTGCCTCTATCGTGTGTTTCCATGTAACTGTAAGTGACAGATGATCTCCTATCGGAATTAGGCAAGGTACTTTTGTTACTTTGACATTACTTTTGGCTCAAGCACATCTTGACTTGGTTCCATCTTTTCTTTTAGTTATTGCCATATCAACGCTCGTCTTAGCTATGGATATACATTGGTCAGACTGTTGTTCGGTCATTGGTCCTTTATCTTTTTGGGGTGTTATACTACTAGGTAGCATATGATTTTTAATTAGTCTTGTAATTAATTTATTGCTAGTTCCTTGCTCAGTAATTATATTTTTATAAAATATCTAGTTGTCCTAAAAAAAGAGTAAATTACACGGACAGTCCCTGTGGTTTGAGGTTACCTTCACTCGTGGTCCCTAACTTTTATTTTTAACTCAGAATGTCCCTAGTATTGAAATGTGCAACCCGCCTAGTCCCTCATTTAATTTTCCACCTGTTTGTGCTTAGAAACCCCCCATGTGACTAGAACGTTGGGGGTAATTTTGTCCTTTCACAATTCAACGGACTTGAAAATCTTTATCCTCCCTTCTTTCTTCAATCATTTTTTTCTCATTCTCCTATTCTCCTCCATTATTCTTACTGCGTGAAAATTAAAGATCCACAAAATTAATTATGGTGAAATGCAATTGTGGTGCTGTAGGTATTATACTAACTTCAATGATAAAGAGAAACCCTAGTAGACTATTTTACGCTAACCCTTTATATGTATTAAATTATCAACCTTTTGTGGTGATTTTTTGTTATATCCTTAGTTTGTGCTAATTGATGCTATTGAAAACTTCAGGGGCTAGCGCGTGGCTTTATTCATGGGTAGATGAAGAAAATCATGAGCATGAGGTTGAAATCTAGAATGTGAACTTCGAATCGAAAATCAGAACCTAAAAATGTTGTTAATAGTTAGTTGGGTTTTGTTTTTTGGGATAATTGTTTATAAGTTGTAATATTAAGTATATATGTCAACCAACAAAAATGTTGTTAATAGCTCATGCGCTATATACACCTCTATTACCTTATGTTGACCAACATATGTAGCTAGATGCCAAACATCATCATCACAAGCTAAAGCCAATAGATCAAAATCTAAATCACCATTTGGTCTCTGAAAATGATAGTAGAGCTCATGTTGCACATCATTATCAATGTATAGAAGACGATGCATCACCTCTTCAATACCGTGCACAAAGAAGGTTTCAATATCCAGTAAACCAACATAATGTTGCTTTTCCCCTGCGATACTTTCTTCCTGGGAAATCGGTAAACTTTCCACCATGGTACAATATGATACAAAAAGTTGTAGGATGATCTGTTGTTGAACATATAAAACTATAAAAACTAAAGTCATTGTCAACGATTACAAAATAGGTATAGTGTATGGGTGCTTACCATATTGACGTCAAACCTTTGTTTCATCCATTGTATCAACTAAATTCCAAGTCGTCATCGTTGATTGTCGTTGCAGAGAAGGCTTTTGACGATGATTAGGGTTTTTGTGAGTAAATGACGAGAGGGTTTTTTTCTCTAATCAATTTGTGTGTGTGTGTGTGTGTTTTCTAGTGTTGGATATGTGGTGAGAGTGGGACGATCGTAAACTCTTCAACTTCTAATTAGCACTAATAATGTGAATTGTGAAAGGACAAAATTACCCCCAACATAATAGTCACGTGGGGGTTTCTAACAAATGTTTTAAAAACTGGTTTGAACTAGCCGATACAACCAATTGGATCAGGAACCAGAGAAGGGAGCGGTTCAAATAGCACCGATTTTATGTTTATTTTCGAACCAGAATAAACCGGTCGATTTTTACAAAAATCCGGTCAAACCGATTAAATTAAATCGGTAAAATAAAATAAAAACACATGAAAATGAATCATTTTCATAACAAACTTTAGTTTTTCACATCTATTTAGATTTTTTTGAATAAAAACACATGATAAATGTTTTAAAGTTTTTTAATGCGTTTGTATTTATCTAAAATTATATTTTTATTTCCTTATTATACTTTATTTTATTTTTTTTGTCTACATTGATTGATGTAAAACTTATGATTATATATTATTAATGTATTTGGATTGATCTTCAACTTGTATTTAAGTTTATTTTTGTGTTTAAACTTATGGATGTCTATGTGTTTATTGGAAAATAGAACAAAAGATGAAAATTATAGAAACCGATTGAACCGACGGTCGAACAGGTTGAGTCGGAAACCCATCACAAAACATAGCGGTTCAACTAAAAAACCGGTTTTTAAAACATTGTTTCTAACCACAAAACATATGGAAAGTTAAATAAGGGAGTAGGTGAGTTATTGTAGGTGAGTCACATATTTCAATACTAGAACGAGTTAAAAATGAAAGTTAGGGACTAAACGTGAAGGTAACCCCAAACCATCGGGACTATCCTAGTAATTTACTCTAAAAAATATAGTGAACATCTCCAGAAAAATTATGGCCCAAGTGTAACAAACAAAAGTACGAGGATTTTTTTTGAAATATATCAATTTAGTACTTGTGAGCAGAGTTGTGACCAAAGAGACATGAAGGATTGGAGTTGCCAGGCTTTTCTTAGTCGACGATGAAGAGACTGGCGAGGAGATGGAAGAATGTTAGTTCTGATGGAGAAGACGACAGCGAAGATAATTTCTCCCTTCCGACGACCTCCGATTTCCATCCCATCGATACCGAAGGTGAGTTTTTCTCTTTATCGCGCTTTGGTTTCCCTAATTTTGTTAAATAGGGTTTATGAAGGCATAAATTTTCCTTTTTTTTTCGTTTTGAATTACTGATTGTTTACATTGAGAAACATGCCACAGAGCAGGAGGAGCTGGTTAGATCACTCGAAAGATCTCAAGCTCAACAATCTCGATTTTGGAGGGTAATTTACACATCCACATGAAAACGATCGTATTGTGTTGACTCTGAAGCATAACTATATAGATGAGTGGCTTTTTACATGAAAATTGATAATGGAGCGTGTTTAGGGCAAAATTTGAACTCCTTTTGCTCATAACTCGATTTGGAACACTTCAACATAGTTTTAGTTCATACTTTATGGAATCCGATTGATAGAAACCTGGAATTGGTCGCTACCAGTTCCAAATTTGAACTTGTTTAGCTCAAATTGAAATTCGTCGACATAGTTTTGGTTTGTTGATTGAAATTTCTTTGATGCCAATTCGAAGCAATTATTTTTGAATTCCCAAACTTCTATCTTAAAGTGCTTTTCTTGCAGCGTGTGTTTTCTGGATTACTTTGTTGCTTCATGGCGTTTCTTATTTTCTCAATTCATGAACAAACAACAATGCCATGGGAATTGGTATGTTATATATATGGATATTTTTTATTTTTCCCAAGAAACTTTGTAACATTTAATACCTTTTTAATTCAATAATGAATTTTTTTTTCTTATTACAGCGTTACCATGCTTACTTCATGTATGAGATTGAATCATGGATTGTGATTGCTGCAGGTTATATTCTCTACTTGTATATTAAATTTTATTATAAATTGCAACTATGGATTGTTATGTGAGGGTATTATAGACATTTCACCACTTTTTGACAGACTGGGCTGGGGTTTTTGTGTGTGCTATGGCCATTGCTGGCCTGCTTCATTGCTCACGGTCTCATAGGTGGTGGCTTTGGTTCTCTTGCTACTCTGGTGTTTTGCTAGCGGTTTTCTGGTTATATAATATGCTCAAGTATGGATGCACTTTTTTTTTTATATATACCAAAATGCCCTCATTTAACCTTAACCGTTTTATTTTACTTGGGAAGGGTATAAATGTATAAATATAAATTCATCAACCTGTTTTTCTTCTGAAAAGCTTTTTTTCCTTCCATTCATGATTATGATGACCAAAATAACCCTGATCTAACCTTAACTATTTTTACATGAGAAGGGTATAATCGTAAATTTGTCAACCCATTTTTCCCTGCAAAAACTTTTTTCACTTCAATGCATGATTTGCATTCTCCATATGATTACCAAAGATGCCCCTGATATAACCGTAGCTACTTTACAAGGGAAGGGTATAATTGTAAATTTGTAAACCCATTTTGATTTTTCCCCTGAAAAACTTGCATGATTTGCACTCTTCATATGATTACCAAAATGCCCATAGCTATTTTACATGGGAAGGTTATAATTGTAAATTTGTCAACCATTTTCCCTTTCAAAACTTTTTTCACATACTCTCACTCTTTATATAATTACCAAAATACCCCTCCCTGATCTAACATCAAATACTGTACATGGGAAGGGTGTAATCATGTAAATATTTTAACCATTTTTCCCCTTCATAACCTTTTCACTTCCATGCTCTCTTTTATATAATTACCAAAATACCCTTAATTGAACCCTATTTTAATGGGAACAGTATAATGATAAATTCCTCAACTTCTTTTTCTCTTTCCTCAAACTGGATATCACGAAAAACAGTTAAAATATGACTTTTTTTTTTCCTTTCTTTCCAACTTAAGAACAAGCAAAAAAAAGGGTATAAATGTAAATTTACTTGTTTGTAGGTTGGCCAAATTCCGTTGGGATATTATCTGGCTTCCTCTTGGTCCATTGAGGTACTCTAAAAAATATTTACTGTTTTAATTGGGTAATTTTTCAAAGTAAAACATTTTTAATAAAATATTTTTGTGAAATAAATTGGTGTTTTATCTGATTTTAAAACCTTAACAAAAAATTGTTTATTCTTGTTTCAGTGGAGCTGGATTTAGTCTCTATGTGGATCATCTTATGAATGAATCATCTGAAGAAGTGAAAAAACTTCGAAACTACATGTACTCTTACAAGTCCCGTTGACTTGTCAACTTTCGCCAGGTGTCAAACTGTGATTTGTCAAATTTGTTTGATCGGAAGCTCAATTCTGTATGAAGGTGTAAAGATTTTGCATCAAGGTTAAGGTTTAAAGAGCAACAAAATTTTGTACATTAGATTGAGGTGAAGAAGATATTTTGCATAAAATAAACAGTTGACTTTTTTTTTTCTTTTCTTTTTGATAGTCAATATATGTTTTTTGCATGTTATGATAGTTTTCAGTCAAAATTTTATCTAGGAAACGTACATTTGAAATCATTAGCTGAATATAAAACCTAGTTACCACAAGTTAAAAATGGTAATTTTTTCCTGAAGAATAAGTTATATATCTAACCATTATATTTGGTTTTGGCATGTTCAAATAACATTTAAAAAAAAAAAAAAAGGAAGACAGCAAGTTGTATATTTAACCATTGTATATGGTTTTGTCATGTTAACATATCATTTATTTCAGAAGAAAAAAAAAATCTAAGCTTTCACAATAGTCATTTAGAGACCGGTTAATTGTCTAAAAGTCGAATATTTAGATTTATAAACCTACCAATGGTTAATGTACTTTATTTTTTACACATAATAGCAACATATTTACATTTCTTTACTGATAATAGCAATGTAGCTTTCTCCACCTATTATAGCAATGTACCTTCATTTTTATACCTATATAAGCATTAAATGTTATTTCTTTCAAATTGCTATTATCATGGCTCTAAAAGGAGCACTAAGATGATATGTGGCTATGTCGTCTCGAAAACTTTCCTGGCAGCAATGTTAGGCATATCGTGTGCCAAAGCAAGTCAAACACTTGAGTGTTTTTTAAGGCAATTTTTTTTTTCTTTTTCTTTATCTCAAATAGATAATGAAATCATCGAGTATTTGTTAACTTTTTGTTATTAAATGCCAATATAACTCTTCTAAAAACCATGGAGTATTTGATAACTGCTTGTTACTAAGTACCAATATAACTTTTTGTTATTAAGTATCAATATAACTTTTCTAAAAACATGATATTTTATATAAATCTATAATTATGTGGTTTTCCTTTTTTGATGTATAAAAGTTTACATCTTAAGTTATGACTTGAAAACGTTATGACCACCATTTAGAACCTTGGTTGTATTAAGGTCCCGTTTGAATTCTAAGTTACGTGAACTGATTTGTAATTCCATTATTTTTTGCTTAATTGCAGTATTTGTGGAGTAGACAAGTAAATGTTCGATCACTCCAATATTCATCATCATATCATGATGTCGTCATTATTTAGTTGTTTTAATTGTTTTGAAGTTAAATCCACCTAATAGTTTTTCTCAAAACACCTAGAATCGACCTAAATGCTTCAGATTACTCATATGCCAAACTCCCTTTTAAATGCTTCTAACAATTTAATGGTGTGCCCTTGTTCTAGGGTTTCCATACGAACGAGCCATGGTGGAGGAAGCAGAAAAAA